AATTAATCTCTCCACGGTGCAGTTCCTCGGATACAACATCAGCCCCCCGAAGGTATCCAGATGGACCAGGGGAAGGTAACGGCCATTCAGCAATGGCCACTTCCACAGTCAGTGAAGGAACTGCAGCGATTCCTAGGATTTGCCAACTTCTATTGACGATTCATTCACCAGTTCAGTCGGCTCACAGCGTCCCTCACCTCAATGCTAAGTGGCAAGCCCAAGTCCCTGTCCTGGAGCCCTGAGGCCCACGAAGCCTTCCACCATCTCAAAGAAGCGTTCAGCACGGCCCCCATTGTTCGTCACCCGGATCCTCAAGCCCCCTTCGTAGTCGAGGTGGACTCCTCTACCACCGGCATCGGGCCGTGTTGTCTCAGTACCATGGTGAGCCTCCCGCCTCCATCCTTGCGCATATTTCTCCCGGAAACTGACCCCCCCTGCGGAGCAAAACTACGACATCAGAAACCGTGAACTGCTGGCCATCAAGTTAGCTCTGGAGGAGTGGCGTGACTGGCTGGAGGGACCCTCGTCACCATTCACTGTCATAACCGACCACAAGAATCTACAATACCTAAGGGATGCTAAACGCCTTAACCCCCATCAAGCCCGCTGGGCCCTGTTCTTCACACGCTTCCATTTCATCATCACCTACCATCCCGGAAACCAAAACCCTAAAGCAGATGCACTCTCCCATTTACACGCTCCTGATCAACCCTCAGATCCCAAACCAATTCTCCCACCAGCCCTCATTGTCAGCCCCATTCAATGGGAACTCGCCGAATGCCTCCGTGACGCCACCCAAACCGAGCCAGCTCTGCAGGGAGGCCCAGAAGGCAAGACATACGTTCATGAAGTACTGGGCTCTGGACACCCAGGCAGCCAGCAGACCCTCTCGCTCATTCAAGCTCGGTACTGGTGGCCCGGTATGACCAAGGATGTCATCAGGTACGTCCGTAGCTGCTCAGTCTGCGACATGTCTAAATCCCCTCGCCAACTTCCAGCTGGCAAGCTGGTTCCCCTACTGGTTCCCCAATGACCCTGGTCTCACCTTGGGGGAAATTTCGTCACCGATCTGCCTAACTCAGAAGGCCACACATGTGTGCTTGTGGCCGTGGACCATTTCTCCAAGGCATGCAAATTGATCCCCCTAAAAGGCCTACCCACGGCTCTTGAAACAGCAGAGAGTCTCTTTCACCATGTGTTCCGAAACTACATCCTACCTGAGGACATTGTTTCAGACCCGGGTCTCCAGTTCATCTCCCATGCATGGAAGGCATTCTTTCACCTTCTTGGGGTAACCCCAGACTAACGGCCAGACTGAGCAGAAGATCCAAGAACTCAGACGCTACCTACGGCAATACTGCTCAAATGATCAGCACAGCTGGAGCCGCTTCCTCCCCTTGGCCGAGTATGCCCAGAACTCCCTCAGACAATCCCCCACCGGCCTTACTCCCTTCCAATGCATACTCGGGTACCAGCCTCCGCTCTTCCCCAGGACGGAGGAGCCCTCGGAGGTTCCAGCTGTGAACTACTGGTTCCGAGAGAGCGAGAGGGTATGGAACTCGGCAAACATCCATCTCCAGCGTGCAGTGCGGAGGCACAAGTTTTTCGCAGACGTCCGTCGGTCAGATCCCCTTTAATTCCAACCAGGCGAGCGGGTCTGGCTATCGACCCAAGACCTCCGCCTCCGCCTGCCGTGCAAGAGGCTGAGTCCCCGCTTCATAGGTCCCTTTCCAATCCAGAGGCAGGTTAATGATGTCACGTATCAGCTCCAACTCCCGGCAAGGTACAGAATCCATTCCACATCTCCCTCCTAAAACCTTTCTCCCCTTCCACCACAGGATCCACCGAACCGGACGCACCTCCTCCCCCAGAGTCATTGGAAGAGGAGGCTGTCTATCAGGTCTGTGACATTCTGGACTCGCGGCGATGGGGCGGACGGCTCGAGTACCTGGTGAACTGGGAGGGATATGGACCGGAGGAAAGATCCTGGGTGGCCCGGGACGATATCCTAGACCCCTTACTTCTGGAGGAATTCCATCGTAACCGCCCGGATCGTCCCGCACCCAGAGGTCGTGGCCATCCCCGTCATCGTGTTGGGGCATCAGGAGCCACCCCTGGAGGTGGGGGTAATGTCAGAGAGTCACAGTCACTTCAGTCACCACAGTCATCACAGTTATCAGCACCGACGATCACAATCACCTGCATTCTGATTCCCCGCACCTGCTGCAGCTAATCAAGCTCCCCTATATGCTCACCTCACACAAGATCAACGTCCGGTCTACCGTTCACATCCCTAAACCTAGCCTGACTCACATTCTAATTACCTCTGTGTCTCCTAGCCTGTGTCGTGACAGCGTGCAAAGCAACCACCCAATATTTTGAAAATGTCAATCTCTTTTGACAGAAAAAATTCGGAATACTCTTAGGGTTAATGTTCTTTTAAATGAAATGTATTATATTTGTTTGTCATAAAAATAATGTAATGTAAAAAAAAAGAAGAGCTGATGTGTTTATACTGTATATCCTGCTGTCATTTGTACTAATGATAGTGTGTGAAAGGTTTGGGACATGATCCAGATATGTATCATGGCAGGTAGATAAATCATTCTCAGGGGGTAGAGGACAACAAAAACATTGTCTTTTTAAAGTCACGGTTTCTGCTTATGAATGAATCCTTGAGTGAACATTTAAAAATGTGTAGTTTCAACTCAACTCTCGTTAAATTCTGCTTGGTTGAGTTATGCTCAAATAAAAACTCCTCAAAAAGTTCAAATTATGAGATAAAAAGTCAAATTATGGCATGAAGTCATAATTTTGCCATAAAGTTGTAATTATGAGATAATATGAGGGAAAAGTCGAAGTTATGAGATAAAAAGTCACGATTATGGCATTAAGTCATACTTTTTCTATAAAGTCATAATTATGAGATATTTAAATAATGAGAAAAGTCAAAATTATGGCATTAAGTTGTACTTTTGTACTTAAGTCATAATTATAACAATTAATTTAATTACGAGAAGGGTCAAAATTATGATAAAGTGTCATGATTATGCCATTGTCATACTTTTGTCATAGTCATAATTATGATATAATTCATTCAATTATGATAAAAGGCAAAATTATGAGATAAAAAGTCAAAATTATGGCATGAAGTCATACTTTTGCCATCAAGCCATATCATGAGATAGTTCATTTAATTATGAGAAAAGGCAAAATTATGAGATACAAAGTCAAAATTATGGCATACTAAGCTGTCATATTTATAAAAAAAAAATGAAAGCACAAATGATCATATACTGTCATAATTATGACAAAATGAAGTCATATTTATGAGATGAAAAGCCAAAATTATGAGATAAAGTCATAATTATGACATAAAAAATCAGCTATTTATCAACTTTTGAAAGTTATACACATATCCTGTATCCTTTAACAGGGTGGACTTTTGTTATGTGTGACATTTATCAAGACTTTATAACCCAAGCTCAACCAATATTTTTTATAGTTAAACACTTCCCTTTTCCCTTTTCAATTGGGAGTAAAATATTTCTATAGACATCATATTGCAGATCGATATAGCTGTTGATTCTGTTCAGCTACACAATCAGGTAACTCCCTCACACAGAAATATGATCATTTCAATATGATAAATTCCTCAGCAATGGCCATAGGCCATTATTATAAAACCTGGCCCTAATAAACTGCAGCATAGAGCTGAACACTGGCCTCATGCCAAACACACTATTACTATGATCATATTCCTGATGTTTCAGGACCTGGACTAACATCATTAGTTTGAGAGTAGCATTGCCACAGAATCAGATGCAGAAATGCAGTGAAGATAATGAGATCCACACACACATACTGTGCATGCATAAAAAAAATCCAATACTATATAATATCAAGGTCAATATTATACCAAAAATAATACTGCTATTCATGGAAAGTTTTTGAATTTATGGTAATAAAATGAATAATAATGCCCATTTGACGTTAGATTTGAAAGTTGTTTTTAACATTTAAAAGATCAAAAACTGCAAATGATCAGACTTTTGATTTGTTTACAATATATCAATAGCAATGACAGAGCATGATCAATTCTTAAAGGGGTCATATGATGCTATTTTAAAGATCATTATTTGGTGTATTTGGTGTAACAGAGCGTTAATGTTCAAAAAACACATTATTTTTCAAATACTGTACATTGTTGTAGTTCCTCAATGCCCCGCCTCTCTCAAATGCCTTGTTTTCTACAAAGCGCCTCTTTCCCACAAGCACAGTCTGCTCTGATTGGCCAGCTGACCCAGTGCATTGTGATTGGCCGAACACCACAAGCACGCTTTGGAAATGTAACGCCCCTTTCCATAATCGCAAGCTTCTGCTTTCAACATAAATATAAAGACAGTAAATAATGTCCTTAGTTTTACCATCAGTTCAAGCCCGAAAGGGCAACAGAGTCGCGTGACAGACACAGTGATGATGCTCGTATGTATTTGCAGTACACAAGCCACGATTAAGAAAGCTGACGCCACGATTACGAAAGCTGACTCCACTGTGATGTGACCCTGCCTCTCTCTCACGCACACACACGCACGCACACACACACACACAACACGATACTCTACATGGCGCAAAACTCAAAAATACAAAAATAGGCACAAAAATAATTTAACTATTAAGAAAACATACTTACAGTAGCTGATTCAGAATAAGCCCAGATTGTCATAGCAAAGTCGGAATTGACCCATTTTTTTAGAAATAGCCTTTGCACAGCCAGCCTTGTAGGCTACTCTCCTAGGTTCACAAAACGGTCCTCCATGAAATGCGTTGCACAAATTCGAACATCTGGGTTGTGCTGTTCTGTTGTAAATAAATCTTAACCAATGACTCCTCATTGCATCTACTTTCGGAAGGCCAAATAAAGTGCTTTTGCTTTCGCACTGAAACACACAGCATCTCCCTGACTGCTTCAACACTAACTGCGGTTACTGAAACCACGCCTTCTTTCTTTGCGTGCACATTTGGGCAGCATTACGCAAATATTTCCACATAGTGACGTAGACATGTGGGGGCGTGTTTGAATGAGGCGTTTTAGCCCGGTCTGGATCAGCCTTCTATTTTAGATAGAATAAATCCTTTTGTGGGAGACTTTGAGCTTTGTACCTCTGCAGATCTTATACATGCACAAATAGCTACATAGCACACTAAAGAAAAGGAAAAATAGAAATCGCATCATATGACCCCTTTAAAAAAAGAGTTAAATATAAATAAACAACACAGAGTCATATATAATATTAAATGTCACATTTATCTTCGTTATGTAATGTGAAATAACTCCAGATATTGTTTCTCTTAACAAATGATAAACACTAAATGATAACTTACCAAGTGTACAAATGCATCAGTTCATAGAATAACCGTCAATTAATGAATAATTTGATGCTATTTAAGAAAATATTTTGTATAGTATTATCAATACTAATACCTCTATTAATGCAACATTTTACAATTTATGGGAATGAAATGGTTAATTATAACCATGCATTATAACCGAATGTTATTTTTAACATTTAATAGACCCAAAAACTGCAAATGATCAGACTTTTGTATTTTTTTTTATCATTTATCAACAGTAATTAAGCAATTACAGAACACTATTAATCCGATCAAAAAAAAAAAACTTTTCATAAATAAACACAAACCTTTACATAATACTAAATACCACATTTGAGGGAAAAAATATAAAAACATTATTTTTCTAGATACATGTTGAGCAATAAATGAAATTACCAAGTATATCAATTCATAGAAGAAATGTAAATTAAAGGCTTTTTTTAACAATTAAAGAATGCATTTTTAAATTGTTGGATTTATTGTGTCAAAATTCTAATGGGGGAAAAATATTCTCTCATTAGAAAAATAAATGCCATAGAGGGCTAATAAAGCAATCAAAACGAAATGCCTTTGTGTGTGTGTATTTTCTTCTCATGTGCATCTCTTTCAAGGCAGATGAAAGATTTATCGAAACTCATCGAAACTCAACATAACAATACATTTCTCCCCTCAAAATTTATTACAGGGCCATGTTTAGTTTCAGCATGCCAGAAACATTTGTCTTAGAATGGCCATAGATTTGATCAAAATTTTACCCAACACTTGGCCTGAAATACTTCATTTTATGAAACTTCTCAGACCAATTCATCTGATATTTTCACTTTGTGTTAAAGTGTCTGAACAGCTGTGAAATTATTCCT